CATCTGAATTCTATTTTAATTTATGACATGAAACAGGAATATTCTTCAGATGGATATCTAATTCTTTCCATACTGTTTATTAAATTACCACTGTAACTAATTTGAAGAGAAAAAAGAAAACAGTGAAACAGAATACAGGATAAARATAAATCTGCCTTAGGGCCAAAACTATATTGTCTTAATTAATGCAGTTTTATTGTATATTTTGATACCCAGTAAGGCTCGTTTCCATCCTTCCTGTTCATTTCAAACAGCCTATTAGTTTCTCTCAAAAGTATGGATGGGTTTTTAATTTTGATTGCCCTGAATTCATCAATTAAATTGGTATAGACTGACATTTGCAGAGATTCAGGTGCATGGATATCTTTACAATATTAAAAATTTTAATTTAGCTATTGTGAATTGTGCTGCTATGAACATCGATGTAGCAGTGTCCCTGTAGTATGCTCTTTTAAGGTCTTCAGGGAATAGTCCGAGAAGGGCAATAGCTGGGTCAAATGGTGGTTCCATTCCCAGCTTTCCCAGGAATCTCCATACTGCTTTCCAAATTGGCCACACCAATTGGCAGTCCCACCAGCAATGTACAAGAGTACCCTTTTCCCCACATCCTCTCCAGCACTTGTTGTTGTTTGACTTCATAGTGGCTGCCAATCTTACTGGAGTGAGATGGTATCTTAGGGTGGTTTTGATTTGCATTTCTCTGACTGYTAGAGATGGTGAGCATTTTTTCATGTACTTGTTGATTGATTGTATATCCTCCTCTGAGAAGTGTCTGTTCAGGTTCTTGGCCCATTTGTTGATTGGGTTATTTGTTATCTTATTGTCTAATTTTTTGAGTCTTTGTATACTCTGGATATTAGGGCTCTATCTGAAGTGTGAGGAGTAAAAATTTGTTCCCATGATGTAGGCTCCCTATTTACCTCTCTTATTGTTTCTCTTGGTGAGAAAAAACTTTTTAGTTTAAGTAAGTCCCATTTGTTGATTCTTGTTATTAACTCTTGTGCTATGGGTGTCCTATTAAGGAATTTGGAGCCCGACCCCACAATATGTAGATCGGAGCCAACTTTTTCTTCTATCAGACGCAGAGTCTCTGATTTGATATCAAGCTCCTTGATCCATTTTGAGTTAACTTTTGTGCATTGCGAGAGAAAGGGATTCAGTTTCATTTTGTTGCATATGGATTTCCAGTTTTCCCAACACCATTTGTTGAAGATTCACAATAGCTAGACTGTGGAACCAACCCAGATGCCCTTCAATAGATGAATGGATTAAAAATGTGGCATCTATACACAATGGAGTACTACGCAGCAATAAAAAATGACAAAATCATAGAATTTGCAGGGAAATGGATGGCACTATTGCAGATTATGCTTAGTGAAGCTARCCAATCCCTAAAAAACAAATACCAAATGTCTTCTTTGATATAATGAGAGCAACTATGAACAGAGCAGGGAGGAAGAGCAGGAAGAAAAGACTAACATTAAACAGAGACATGAGATGGGAGGGAAAGGGAGAGAAAAGGGAAATTGCATGGAAATGAAGGGAGACCCTCATTGCCATACAAAATTACATATAAGAGGTTGTGAGAGGTTTGGGAAAATAAACAAGGARAGAAATGAATTACAGTAGATGGGGTAGAGAGAAGATGTGAGGGAAGGGGAGGGGGGATAGTAGGGGATAGGAAAAGTAGCAGAATACAACAGTTACTAATAGGGCATTATGTAAAATTGTGTATGTGTAACCTACGTGATTCTGCAATCTGCATTTGGGGTAAAAATTGGGAGTTCATAACCCACTTCAATCTAATGTATGAAATATGATATGTCAAGAGCTTTGTAATGTTGTGAACAACCAATAAAAAAAATAAAAATAAATAAAAATTTAAAAAAATCTTAAAAAAATTTTAATTTAGGAATAATATGACATTAAACTTACAGCTCCTTGTGTTCTCAGTTAAATTTTTATTTAGTAGGAAATATTTGTACACTTATAGCTAGTAAATGCTGAGTATTTTATGGTTTATTTTTTGATTCATTGATGTTTTTATATATTGGTTCATTTAAAATGAACATTGCTTTACTGAACTCTTATTAGTTGTAATATTTTTTTCTCTTGAATTTCTAAGATTTTTAGTGTAACCTGAAAATAATGAATTTCTGACTTTTCCTTTTCAATTATTTATGGCTTCTTTTTCCACATGCTTACATAAGCAAGCCAAAGATATCTTAGGTTATTTCTTTTCTACAGAATGGAATGTTGGTATAGTCATCTGATTGCTTGATGCGTGAACAAAGTATCATTTTCCAGTATGGAGTCTTATAATTTTTTCTTTAATTTCAGGATATCTAAACATGAACTTTATAAACTAGCCTAATTGAGGGAGAACATTTTGATAACAATGTTTAGGACTCTGAAAAAAAAGTTAGGAAAGTGTTCATTTGTTTAAAGCAGTTCTCTCACATGCACACATGCAATATAATCTGTCTCTCAGTCTCTTACACACACACACACACACACACACATACACACATTTATTTACTCACTATGTTCTAGTAAACATTAAGAGTGAATATCATTTAAATTATTGTATTGTAGTCATATATTTGGACCTATTAGCTGAAGTAGATGAGTAGCAAACCTTAATGAAGTAATTTCCAGTTGTATGTGTCATTGATTTCCCGGGCTTGTAAGACCCTAGGTATTCCTGCCTATAGATATCAACTAGTTAATTCTTATCAGTGGATTAATGCACTGATTAGGTTAAAGCTCTCATGACCTAGCCATTTCATCCCCAAACTTTCTTTCATTGTCTTACATATGAACTTTTAGGGGACACCTCATATCTAAACTATAATGGTATGTACAGTTGAAGTTTACTTTGTTGGGTGTGTTGTATTGTGGTCCATCCACTCAACTATCAATTTTTTCCCCCAAATACCTTCTATCTATCTTCCTATTTTTTTTSTTTTGTGGTGTAGGATCTTATATTTGAAATTCACATTCCTCCTCTTCTGCATTTGAATATGTAAATCCCTTTCTGTTCTTTGAGGTTCAAAACAAACACCCTCCCCTCCACAAGATTCTTTTCTAAGGCAAMAAATTACTTGGTACATTCTTCTGTTAAAACAGTTATCACATTGTACTATAATTGTTTATTTTTATTTCTGTGTCCATCATAAAYTGTGAGGTGATTGAGACTGTGCCTTCACCAATATCTAGCAGAATAGCTGGTATAGAATTGGTAATCTGTACATTTTTGTTGAATGAATAAATTGAATATGTGCTTACAAAAATTATAAAGTGAAAGATAAAAAAGGGTATGGGGAAGTCGCAAGTCTAACAGTATTAGAGGTTTCTATGGAATAGGTGTTGGAAGCATATTTTCTGATCAGATAAATAAAAGTATAAACTTCAGTTTAGAGATATGCATTTTGATATAGTAATGTTTACTATTGGTGAAGATTTGTTAGATTAAGTGAAGATCCAAGTGTATGAGGCTATGAAATCATGTTGAAAGTCAGTAAGAAAAACAGTGTCCACTCAGGTACAAACCCTCCAAGGACACGATTTTGAGAAGGTRTGTACCATTAGAAAGTACATTGCAGCTACTTCTCTATAGGTAATATGTATTCTTGGCTTACAGGTTACCATATAAAAAATTTAAGAATTGCTAGTTTTCCAGTTGCACATGTAAAGCTGGACCTATCAGCTTGAGTGGCAATAAGTTTGTTTTCTTTCATTTCTGACTTTTTATTCTGCATTTTCATTGTATCAGAGATTGAACCCAGGAGCACTTAACCACTGAGCCACAATCCCAACCTTTAAAAAAATTATCTATTTATTTATTTATTTTGGTACTGAGSATTGAACCCAGGGATGCTTAATCACTGTGTCTCATCTCTAGCCCTTTTTTTTTAATTTTTTTTTTATTTTGAGACAGGGTCTCCCTAAGTTGGTTAGGGTCTTGCCAAGTTACTGAGGCTGGCTTTGAACTTGGTATCCTCCTGCCTCAGCCTCTGGGGCCACTAGAATTATAGGCGTGTACCACAGGACCACCATGTGTTCTTTGAAGTTTTTAATATGTTCCTTAAAAAAACTAATCACACCTAGATTTTAAGATTTTGAGGGGCACTCATGAAGCTTYTCCAGGCACCATTTAGATGCTTAATAACTGTTGAATTTAATTGAAAATGTCAGTTTTATTATATATATTGATTACACTTGATGACTTATATATTTCTTGTAAATACTCTTCAGTGTTATCGAGAGAGTGATTTGATAACCAGTCCAGTTTCTTTTCAAATAAAATAAATACTTCAACTGAAATAAGGATAATCACATCTCTATAGCAATATCTGAAGGCCACACTTAGTACTCTTTTGAATGATTTAGGTAAAAAATAATGATTTACCAATATCTTATTTATTCTAAAACTTTTAAGCAATCTCTTGAAATGTCCTATGAAATTTTGATTTAAATTTATGTACAAATAAAATGAGAGATGTCAAATAAGAATAGTTTAACACAACCCAAGACAGTATATGTTAGAAATCAGGTTCAGTGGTTCCATGGTATTGATGATCTACACTGCTAGGGCTAGCAGAGATCATTCCATAAGAAACGTATAGGATGGTAGTTGTTTGGATTGCTTCAATATGTTCTAAACTTGGTTTACAGTAGCATAYTGCAGTTAGATGGTATATTCTGATTATATAAAAGGTGATGGATACTGTTTTTCAAATAATATATTATATAGAGATGTTGACTCTGAAATTATTAAAATTGATAAAATTATTCATACATATTTTTAAATTAGTAAGTTATCTTTATTCTGATTTAGTTTTTCTTTTCCTAACATCRCAATTAATTTTAAAAACAGAAAATATATTAAGAAAACTGTTTTCTTTTAAAAATTTCATAGTTTTATCCAGCCATTTAACAAAAAATTTGGAAAGCCATCTTTTCTGTATTAACATTTTGGTTTTKATTTCTTGCTACAGGTTTTTAACACATACTCCAATGAAGACTATGACAGGAGAAATGATGAAGTTGACCCCGTGGCCGCATCTGCTGAGTATGAACTTGAAAAGCGTGTAGAGAAGCTGGAACTTTTCCCAGTGGAACTAGAGAAAGGTACATGAGTGCTGCAATGTTCACAACATCATTATGTGGCTGTGCTAATAATATAGGATTGTTTTTCCAAAGTCTAGTCTTTTTTTTTTTTTAAGGATTGAATAAAGTTTTAATTCTCACAGAAGATCTATTTATTAAGTTTCAAAAATAGTTGATATGGATTCTAATAGTTGATTGGATCGAAAGACTCCCTACCTCCTACTGCCAATTGAAACCCATCCTCTGTAGCTGTTTGGGATGGTGGTTGAGATGGAGGGAGGTATGAGTGAGGCCTAGGCTTTGTCTGTATTTCTGGAAAGAACTGGTGCAGGAGAGAGCCCAGAGAAAGATCTATAAGTGAGAGTGGGGAGAGTAGGTGCTATTTTTGGTGGAGAGAGAGTAGTTCTGGTTAGGCTCAGAATGTGAATGGGAAATGCCTTTGGAAAATTATAGACATTTTGGATCGAAGGCAATAGGATTCAGAAAGATTTAAATGGTAAGGTTGTTTATCTTCCCTGTCTTTGAGGGGAGTAAGGAGAAAGAACAAAGGGGCTTCATCCTGATTTCTCTCCCTGGAAGGACAGCTTCTCTGATGTAGTAACTGCTGACTCATGGTACCAGAGACTGCCTCATTTATCATCATATAAGATGTGTACCCAGGAACTGGACTGTCATTCAGTGAACATTAAATTAACAAATCTCACAAGGCTTTGGAAAAAAGGAATGAATAGATAACTTGAATAACCAAGAAARAATATTCATTAAAATTTTAATATTTATTTATAGTATTAATTAAGAGATGTTCCAAACTAATTCTCAAATGACAGAGTAAATATCCAAGAAAAATCATGAAAGAGCACCAGTATGTAAATTATAGGCAACAGAAGGGGAAAAGACAATGGAGGAGGAGAGACAAATAATAAAAGAAGAAAGATTTTTTGGACTAGAAAAAAAATTTCTTGGAATAAAAGAAAAAAAGACCTGAACTTCCTGTTAGAAAGGACTTAGTTGTGAATGAGAAGACTTACACAAAAAAATACTAGGCATAGGCTGGGAAAATCCTAGTATTCAAAGATAACATAAAAAATATAAAATACCAGACTTTAAAACTCCAAAGTAAACAAATCAGAAAAAGTATTTGATGGGCAAGATGATTATATTAGTGTCAGATTTATTTTCAACTGTAGGAACAGGGAGATGGAGGTATAATTTCATAGGCCACTATGAATAAGAAGGATGATAGAATCCCCTCCCCATCCCAGAGAGCAGTTGCTTATTCTGGTGAAAGAAAGAAATGTGCTGACATGTAAGGATTTAAAGAATACATCAAGTACATACTTTATCTGTGTAATATACTTCCCAATTACTAGGGAGGCAAAGAAACTTGTTTAAAACAGTAAAGGGAGGAAAAATAGAGGTGAAAACTATGTGAATATTAAACACAGAAGTGTCCAGATGGAGAAAATATGAATGAGAGCATTAGTCATTATACTGTGCATGATTGATTATTCCCATTAAGAAACTTTCATTTGGGGTTAAAGTGAATTAAAGAGTGATGCCTTTATTTTTTTTTATATAGATTTAAAATTGTGGAAAGCATTATAACAGCTAGAATTGACTGTGTGTTTTGTATTGCTAATAAAAGCCAAAATGAGAACAATTCAAATGTTCATCAGTGGTAGAAATTGCCTATAAATTGTAGCATATTTAGTTAATAAAATATTACTCAGCAGTGAAAATGAATGAACCACACAGTTTACATGTAGCAGAATGTGTGATTTTTGCAAACATGAAGTTGTGAGAAAATTTAAAAAGCAATTGAGAGAGGAAGTCATGCAATTATAATTCCATTTATTTAATTTTCAAAACTAGGAAAAGTTGAACAGCTTATTATTTAGGGATGGGCACACAAGTGTTTTTTCTTAAGTATTTTGAAAAGGAGAAATGATTAACATAATGTTTAGGAATAAGGGAAGAATTACAGTGTCATGGAAGAGTACATAGATGGTTATTGAGTGTTGGTAATATTCTTTATATTTGTTAGTAAGTGGCTATTTAGTTATTTTTGTTCCTCAAATATAATGTTTTGTAGATAAATGTTTTCATAAGCTCTTATATATATGCTATATTTCATACTAAAAAATAAAATAGAAGATAACAAAATGCAATACAATTATCACAGAGTTTAATGCACTTTCAGAACTAGAGAGATCTGTAGACAGAAAACAAAGATATTGAGGAGTGGATTAATATAATCAACTCAATTTAAAGCTGCCTTCAAAAGAAAAAAAAATTATTTTCCCTTAAAAAAATTTTAAACCCCTTTAATATCATGAGAATTTCAAGGTAGATGTTTGATCAAATAAAAAATTAGACCTATTGTTTCAAACCATCATGGAATGGATTATTTAAAACAAACCTCTAACACAAAATAAAAACCTTACTCAGAATGAAAGTTATATCTTTAACTTTAAAAAAAGTAGAAGAAAAAATATTTGTCATGTAAATCAGAAAAAAGTAAATAAAATTTTAAAAGCTAGTACAGAGGACATTATAAACAAAAATAACAAGTTTTTATTGAAAGATCTCTAAAATATATCAACCCTTCATAATCCTGACTGAGCAACATTGTATGTATTTGCTTTGCATTCCTAATTTATAATTTCTATATTTTTGCTTTCAGTATTCCTCAGTCAGGATTATGAAGGGTTGATATATTTTTTCACTAAATTTCTTTGACAAAAATGATGAATACCTAGAAGTAATTTATTACTTCCTAGCAAAATAGGAGTTACTAAAATCAATTCAAGTATTGCCATAGAATAAATTAGAATGATGACTACAGATAAAATGTTAAAAACTCATCAGAACCAGATGAGTTTAAAGGCTGTACAAGCCTGTGTGAGACTATTTTATATCATAGAAAATGAAGGAAAACTCTTTCAAGGATACATGGAGCCAGGCACAGTGGTACAATAATCCCAGTGACTCAGGAGGCTGAGGCAGGAGGATCACAAGTTTAAGACCAGCCTCAGAAATTTAGCAAAGTCCTAAGAACTTAGCAAAACCCTATCTCAAAAAACAAAAAGGGCTGAAAAAAAAAGATAACATATAAACTTTAGTTTACACTAAAAGTTAATAATGCTACAAAAATGCCACAAAAATGAATATAGGACAACTCAGTATAAATATATGTTTTAAAATTCTAAATGAAATAAAATACTAAATACAGAAATATTTAAAGAAAAAAATGCATTAAGACTAAACAGGGTTTTAGATAGGAGGATATAGAGTAGTTCATTATTAGGAAATTTATTCCCAAATATTGAAAGGAAAAAGTCTGTAGTCAAGGTTAAGAGATATTTGATAATGTTTAGTTATTTCAAATTAAATACTCTATTCCTGAATATTATACAAAATATAGATCATAAATAATTATATTTTTAAATTGAGGAAACACTATAAATATTTCAGTTAAAACTGGGAGGCAATGTCCTTTGCATGAAATGATCAGTCTAAGAAAAGAAAATACATAAAGAAATACCTCCTTTTGCTGATATATCTATAACCCTGTCTGTGTTAGCTTTCTGTTACTATAATACAATTCCTGAGATAATAAACCTTAAAAGAAGAACAGTTTATTTTTGGCTCATGTTTTTGGCCATGATCAGTTGGCACCATTGCTTTTGAACCTGTAGTGAGGCAGTATATTATGGAGGGAATAAGCAATGGAGGGACTTGCTCATCATGACAGCCATGATGTAAAAAATAGAAAGGGATGGAGTTCCAGAATCCCACTAAAGGGTGTACCCTGAGTGGGCTCACTTCCTTCCACTAGGCCTCACTCCCAAGCTGAAGAAAGCCTTTAATACATGGGCCTTTGTGGAACACTAACACAATGTATAATRATATCTATGTCCACCTTGGAAACCAAATTAATTCAATTTAAAAATATTAGAATTGGTAAGATAATTTGTAAAGGAGAAAGTCAGATTCAAGATGCCTATAAACTTGTTTTTTTCCCTCTGTATTCACAGTAAGAATTTAGAAGTAGAAATGGGAATAATGTTTTATTTATAGGAGCACCCAAACAACAAAATACTTATTAAATTCATTACTAAGAAATAGGATTTATTTATAGAAAATCATAATTTTTCTTTGAAAAAAATTAGATTTAAGCTAGTTAAAAGTTATACTATGTTCTTGGATGGGAAAACTCAGTTTAGAAGCATGTCCATAAATTAAGATATACATTTAGTATAGTTCAAATAGAACTGCCAACAACATTGAGTTGCTAGAAGGGATTGTGTAGGACAATCTTTAATTTTATATGAGAAATTATAGATGTAAKGGAAAAAGGAAATAATACAAAGGGCTTAATTTACCAAATATCTGAACATAATGTTAAAGCTTCTATAATGAGAACAAATTATATTTATATATTGGTGTGACAAAATAGAAGATCTAGAGAAAGATATTAGTCTGCAGAAATATTTAGTATGGCACACATCTTATATGTAATAGCACATTTTATAAATTTTTCTAGCATAACTGAGCATCTATCTGGAAGAATATAAAGTTAGATGCCTGCATTATATCATATTTTAAAAACCTACATAGATTAAATAATTAAATTTTAAAAGTTATTGATATTTGAAGAAATTTTTATAAAATTCCATTTATCAGCTTGGCTGGTGGGAGGATGACCTTAACCCAGAAGGAAAACCCAAAGTTAGAAAAGATGAACCAATTTAATTGTCTAGATTTTTAGCTTTTAAAGGTAATTATCTCAAACAAAATTAAACAGGTGATAAATTGCCCTCATTGTAGATGACAAAACCAATGTCTACAATATGCTAAGAACCTCTGAAAATTATCAGGACAGGAGAGACAGGTAAAATTCAATAGAAAAAAGTGGTACTTTTCAGAAGAGGAAATAAAAAATGATCTACACTGCTTTACACTCTCAGTCACTATGAGGGAAATGTTGTACAACATGGGCTTCTTGCCTGAGAGAGAAAGTCAGTGTTGAGCAGTGTGGTGATAGCATCTTCCATGGTAGCATAGCCTCACTGTCTTCCACATCCTTGTTGGCTCTTGACCCATTTAGAGCCTTTGCCTGTCCCTAGGAATGTAGATAGAGGAGGATACAGGGACTGCTTGCTTCTTGACAGTGCAGCCCCAGGAATCAGTGGCCTTCAAACATGTAGTTCTGAATTCCATCCTTCTCCCTCTGAACAGAGAAGAGATGAGATGCTYGGGAACATCAGTCACCTGTCTCTGTGCATCCATTGGGTTCTTCCTTGTTTCACCCTCAGTCATTGCCTCCTTCTTATAGGAATTCAGTATGGATCAAGTTAATTTTGCTTTTCTGCTACTAGATTTTTAGCTTTGGAAMTCTGAGTGATTTTCTCATTAGAGCAATGAGAAGAAGCCCCATGGAAGCAAAGAAAAGAATAAAGACAACAAAAAATCTTTAGGGAGGCCTGAGTCCAGGCAGGAAAAGTGATTTAAAAACCAAGAAGTAATTTTCACATAGAATAGTTCCTGGAATTTCCTCTCATGACAGTAAGAGATTTGACATTTGAGAGGACCCTTTGAATATATATGGGAACATTTTGATCAAAGTATAATATTGGTTTTAACAAGTTGTAATGAAGAGAAACCCTCTAAGTATAGTGAACGTGAGGTGGAATTCAAGCACAATGCTAATACTCTAGAGATTTCGCTCAGGAAACAAACCTTTAGTGTGGAAGAGCTACAATGATCATCTCTTTAAACCACAGGAGAAATACACTGGGGTGAGGCTATGCATGTGGATGTGTACATGGTGGGAAGGCTTTCAGTAACCATTGCAGGAACAAATTCACATGCTAGAGAAACTCGATGACTGTGATGAGTCTGAACAAGAATTTAGCCATCAGCTAACCTTGATATATACTTTTCTCATGGGAAAGAAGAAATCTTAAACACTAACCATTGTGGAAGAGCCTTCAACACACATCTGAACTTCATGTACACAAGAAAACTTATTCTGAGGGAAATCTTTAGCAAAAGAATAAGTATTTGAACCAGAGAAGTCATTTCAATGAAATTAATATGAGAAATCACATGTATGTTAACATTTCTAAATGGTGATCACTCAGACATTAATTAGTTGTAAAGATCTAACACTGGAGTGATACCTATGCCTACAATCAGTGTGGAAGTGCCTTCAGCTGGTCTTCATATGCAAAAACCTATCCAGGGAAAACATCGTAAAAATTCCTTGTGGAATACCACTGAGCAAACAAATCACACTTTGCCAAATGATTTGTTTTTGAATGTATGTAGAATAAAGATGTAGGGTTGTGATAGTCATAGTTAAGGCAGAAGATAACATATAATAATCATAGTCATAGTTAAGGCAGAAGATAACATATAATAATCAATGAGATAAATCCTCTTCAAAGAATTATAATTATGAATATATAGTAATGTTTATTGCTAAAAACTGTTTTAAAACACCAAGCATCCTATTGAGTATGTGGGGCTTGTTTTCCTTTAATAATSCATCACTGTTGATTAGCTAGTATCAGTTTTTTATGCTGCTGATAAATCATGATTACAAAGACTTTGAGGCTATCAAAAAATAACCTTGACTGTTAAGCAAAGCACATAGGGTACAAAATAGTGTGTCTTTTAATTCACTGGTGTTGAACTATATATGTTCTGGGAAAGGGCAAATGGAAACATGAATAAACACATAAATATTAAGTAAATGAAAAATAAAATAAATGTCAGTATTGCTTATAGTGCCAAAACAAAATAAAAAATTGAAACAAAGGTGAGTGCCTGACAATAGAGAAATGGTTTTAATGTTTTTGATATCATCTTATCCTGAAGTATTATATAGTCATTAGAAATGATTTAAGCTATGTAAGTTGATATTCATAAGTTATCATTGAATTTTTAAAAGTAAGTTGCAATAGACTATGTAAAGGAGTGTAAAAGAAGAAAAAAACAAATCTTCTGTGTGTGTTTATATATTTAAACTTTTGTTTAATGTATATACTTGTGTAGTTAGCACAGAAGAAAAACTCAAAGACACAAACTGTCTTATTTTTCATAAACAAACAGAAAATGTGATCACATGATTAAAGAAGAAATTCCAAATCTTAAGGATCATATTCATTAAAAATTATGCATGCATTTTAGTATGTGTGTGTTTATGCCTAAATAATTTAAAGGATTATTTGGAGAGTCTGTGTTTAGGTAGATTGACTATTCAGTAACAAAATCATTAGCTTTTCTGAGACCAGAATGAATTGCCAACCTCAATTTTAAAATGATATGACACTCCTGAGCCCTTTGGGGAATCTTATTTGATAATCTTTTTCATCCTCTTGTAAAAAATTTCTGCTGAGACAAGAATATCATGTGTCCTGTTCATAAAGAAGAACAAAACTAGAGGCAGCAATAGGCCTTACCAACTAGTTATATCAGCTGGACCAGTGTAAAACCTTGGTTGCTTCATTCTTTTTTCTTTTTATAGATGAGGATGGTCTTGGTATCAGTATTATTGGAATGGGTGTTGGAGCAGATGCTGGACTTGAGAAACTGGGAATATTTGTCAAGACAGTTACAGAAGGTGGTGCTGCTCAGCGAGATGGCAGGTAAGTTAATTGTAGTTGTTAGTGACTTAAAATCCTAGAAAACTGGGGATTTCTTTCAGTGTTATCTTTCTTCTTTTTTTCATAAGGATGGAATTTCAGAGTGTTTCTCAGATGTAGAAAATATGAAAATGCTTGAATTACTTTCTCATTTGTAGGCAGAATATATGCTTTAATGTATATTCAGTAAATGAATGGATCTGTCTGTATCTGTCTCCCTTTGAATATAGCCATTCATTTATCTGTCTAGTGAGAAGTGGACAAAAAAACCAAAACATGTATAGCTGAAGAACATGTACAATGGAGTGAGACAAATGATAATAGTTCTGGCATTTTTGAAAATGATAGAGATGGCAGGGAAATTAGGAACTCTTCTTCTTCATTGATGATAATTCTGGAGATAGGGGCTTCTCTAAACATGTTCTACCTAAATATGCAAATTCTTGAGCATCACCTACACCTGTACAATTAAAATTGCCAGTAGTGGGCTCTGATAGGGTACACTTAACACATCCTCTTTGGATAGTTCTGATGTGCAACATAACATCAGGTCATTATTTTTTAATGTTTTATCTTTCATCATCTCAGGCTACATATATCTTTATTGTAAAGATTTCAATTAATACACTAACCTTATGATGTTTTGGGTTGGAACTGAAAGTAGAACCTTGGCAACAGAAATAAAAGTAGACTCCAAAATATGATAGCCAAATTCAAAGAAATACCATCTTAGTTTTTAGGAACATTGAATAAATGGCTTTGACTTTTTTTTCCAGTATTTTTCTATATTCTTTAGCCATCTTACCAAGAAATAATAAAGCATGTTGAAAGTAATTTTTGAATCTGTGTTGAGACCCAGAGGGTATTTTTTTTGTAATCCTAGAAACACATATTGATATACAGAAATATTTCCCCAGGAATACTAAATTGATTTATGTAACTAGAAAGTTGTACCTTTATTTTTTTTCTGTGTATTTAGGGCCCATACCTTAGTCAGTTGTCTTGTTTGTACTCCTGTAGCACTCATTATAATACTTTGCACAGAGAAGGTCTGAAGTGGATCTTCCGAGTAAATGGTCAGTGGACTGCATGTGTTTCACATTAATGTGGAATATGAATATTTTGTCTTTGAAAGTAGTTTAGTGAGTCTTTATTTTCAGAGTAGTGAAAGAAATAACCTCTCTGACCCTTTAATCAATTACATAATGGTAATAATATTTTCAGGTATTAATTCAGCAACTTTCTTCCAAGTAAGCTATAATTTATTTGTAAACTCTACCTTGTTTGTACTAATTTTGTTGAAAATTTTAAAAGGCATTTCTAGGTGATAGGAAATAGTTTTTATAGTTAGTATTCAAGCAATTATAAATTGTTATGAACCACCCCTCTTAAATGAGTTGACTTCAACTCCAAACCAAAATACTAATTGTTTAAAAATCACAAAGGATAAACATTTTTCATTCATTCATATTTATTTTTGACTTTAAAAAATTAGGTTTGTTTTCTGTTAACCTATTTACTGATGTTTTCTTCTTTGTAGTTTCATTATTTATACTGACATAAGATCTTTGCTTTGTTAGTTTCAGTGTGCATTTCCTCAGTTCTTTTAAATAAGTGTTTACTTAGTGTATCAATCCTGCTATTGTTATAATAGATACATAGTATTTGTATCCCCCCTTCTTGTTTCCTGTCTCCATRCAATAAACTTTTATATTTCTAATGTTTTACCCCTTCCAAATGGCTTGTAACCTTTAATTGCACTCTTGAGTACTTAAAAAAAAATTGTGTAATCTCTTTCTATATCATCCAGTGTAGTTGAAACATTTTAGATCTCTCTTATTCTTTTTTTTTGTGTGTGTGAAGATTTCATGCCTGTACCTTCTTATATGAGGCCTTATACATAGGGAATACTCAAAAAATATTTCTTACACGAGTGAATCTTGTGTTTTATTCACTTTGGATACATTTATTTGGGTCTAATAGTTTTATTTATTTATTTATTTACTGACTTACTTATTTACTTATTTATTTCACTCTTTCTTTTTTAAAGTTATCTCTTATAGGATAACTTGTAATTTATCTTAAGGACACCATAGCCCCTTCCATCTTCTCTTTGAGCTCTAATTTTTTAATAAAATAATACTATATATACTAACCATTAGTTTTTGTTTCCTTTAATGTAGATTATATGATTCAACACAGGAAACTTTTTTACACTAATGATTTCTTCAGACCTCTTTCGTGATTCTATTAAGCAAAACAAGTTTCCTTTCTGGGCACACTCTTCTAGTCAAATATTTTGCTTTCACCCTGACATTGCTGTCTTGATATGTATTTTCTCATACATTTAAATGTTCACTGTCTAGCATTTTAGGGAAGAACTCTGTTTACCAAAGTTCATTACTGTTGCTCCAGCTGGTCTCCCTGCCATTCATGCCTGGTTCTTTGTTGACATAAGCTCTGTGAGGTAGAGTTGTTTTTTCTCTTCCCAGAAACATCATGTCAATAAATAATTATCTAACAACATTATACCCTAGAGAGCCTAACATATGTTTTCATTAGCTTTATACCCACTAATTCTGGCTTTTTAGGTTTGAGGATTCTCAGCAATATCAGGCCAAGGCTAAAGAGCAGTGTTGTTGCACACTTTTGGTGAATAAAGCATAGGAAAATTATGGCGGGAATGCTGTGATGTAATGGCTTAAAATGAGTCAGGTACATTCCCATACATTGCATTCCAATAGAGATTGTTTCCAGGCAAAACAGGCTGTTTCTTCTGCTATTCTGGAAACTTTTGTAAAGGCCAGATAATCTCTAGGTATCTCTGGGATACAAAGATCTGTTTACATATTTTTTACCACCAAGAGTCACCTCTTTTTTGTGTGTGCTTTTAATTATAGGCAAGATTTGAGAGAGCTTATTAGTGCTACTATCTGTGAGTTGTGGCTAACTGTTACTCTTGGCCAGGCATGATGGCTCATGCCTATAATCCCAGGAGGCTGAGGCAGGAGAATCTCCAGTTCAAAGCCAGAATCAGCCAACTAGTGAGGACCTAGACAACTTAGAGGACCCTGACTCAAAATAAAAAATAAAAAGGGCTGGGGAATGTGGCTCCGTTTTTAAGTGCCCTGGGGTTTAATTTCTAGTATCCAAACAAAATCAAAAACAAAAAGCTCTAAAAGTTATCATCTCACAGGGTAAGAAATTCAAACAGAGTGAGTGTCAGATAATTTCCCTACCATGATAATCATTGATAAATAAGAAAATTAGCTGGCTCATGATCTAGTAGATTATRGGAATAGTCTGTGGTGGAATAAACCTGAGCTGTTGCCTCTTTTTAAGCATTGTTTCCGTCATCTCCAGTTGTCTTTGCCTCTCCCCCTTGTGCTCATTTTTAGTTTTTAAGCTTGTCTTCCCTTTAATCACCACACATTCTGACTATAAAAAGATAAATCAAAATGCCCCTCAAATAGCCACTCCCAAACCTCGACTCCTCCCTCCCTTCCTTCCCATTGTTTAATAAAATTTTTTAAAATATTTTTTTTAGTTGTTGATGGTTCTTTATTTTATTTGCTTATTTATATGTGGCGCTGGGAATCAAACTCAGTGCCTCATGTATATAAGGCAAGTGCTCTACTGCTGAGCTACAACCCCAGCCACTAAAAAAAAAAAAAAAAAAAAAAAAATTAAGGTGGTTTTTATTTTCTTGTTTTTTAATANAAAAAAAAAAAAAAAAAAAAAAAAAAAAAAAAAAAAAAAATTAAGGTGGTTTTTATTTTCTTGTTTTTTTAATAGTGTATCAGATTTTAAATTTTTCTTTAATGAAATATCACTTTTGAAATGAGAAAAGTTTTTTAAAATAAATTTTCTTTTAAAAAAAATAATAATCAAATACTATTGTGCTTTCTTATTTCCCTTAATGCTCTCTGTGTTGAAGACAGGAAGAATTATGTAGGATCTGCATTTCAATCATAGGATCCCTCTTTTTCACACTTGGCTCTGAATGCAAAGAAGACACCTAGTTGAACATCAGTTGTCTGTTGCTGGGTGCCCTGCACTTAGCTTTCCTCTCAGAACTTCCGGTGCTCTTCATCCTTGGTGGAGATGCACTTTTCTACCCAGTGTTGCGCTCCTACTTCATGAAGGGCTTTCTTTAACATTTAAGCACCAACACTGCTGCTCATGAATTCTTTGACTTTTTTTTCTTTTTTCAGTACTTTTTCCAGACTTGTTTTTTTCTGTTTTGAGTTACTTGGGTGTGCACCATCAGAAGTGTTTTTTACAAACACATTACATTAGAACATGCTATAAATATTGGTTTTCTGATTATAAATTAATCATATATGATAGGCATTGTGAAAATCCTGTTGAAATATAGCAGCTTCAACCCATGTAATAATTCTCCCTCTCCCTGTCATTGAGAATGTGCCCTTTGGGCTTTGATTTAGATTATAGATTGAGTTCAGACACTTTAGCTGAAATATTTTGTTGTTAACCATACATGTATATTTTATAAAGAGCAGGGAACTATACCATTTCAGTCTAAAGGAAAACCTTTTTGACTATATCCCTAGTCACTGTAAAATGTTATCAATTGTCAAATGAGTATGTACAAATGACATTTTAAAGTTATAAAGGTAAATATGTTACCTTTATAATAGTTCATGGGTGAAATTTTGAAAAATGTGACAAAATATGAAGAAGAAAACAAAACTAGCATTTTGTTGCAAGGTATTGGTGAGGTCAGCATTTTTATATAAAAATCATCATTAACATTTCTTATTATTTTTTTGGAACTAATTCCTAGGACTATAATTACCACATCAAGGTGTATTGCATTTCAAACACTTTAGAAATACATTGCAAATCTGCCCTTTTGAAAGGTTGTTCAGTTTGTACTCAGGGTCTAGTAGCCTCCTGCCCCCTCATTCAGGCTGAATATTGTGTAATAAAAATCTTTAATAATTTGGCAATTATTAAAGGCATTATTACTTTTAAGTTTTAATTTCTTCTTTTTGAGCCTTTCCAAATGTTTACTGGCCATATTTCTTTTATTCTTTTTAAAATAAATTATTTTGTTTGCTTTGTTCCTGTTGCATATTTTACAACCAAGTTATTGACTGTTTTTTTAGCACTAATCTCCATAAATGTCATACCAACTCCCCTCACTATGTGACCTCCTCACAGAACTTTCTTCCCTACTCCCCCACTCTCACAAGTATGAGCAAGTACAGTAAACAGAATTAATATGGAATTCTAAACTTACATATAGAAAATTCTGTATTTTTTCTTGTTCTTAATGTTCCTATTTATTGCTTTCAAAATTAGAGACCTACCACTTTGAGACATCCAGGGGCCTTTTCTTAGACTACTTCCTCTGTCTTTTTCAGCGTCATAATAGGGATTTCTATTTCTAGTGAGATCTATGCTCTCTTGTTTGACATTTTCTGGGTTCTCCTTTATAGACCCTTTTCTCCTTTGTTGTTGTTTTCTTGTTTTAAATTCTATATTGTAAGAAGGTACAGATCCAGAACCAAAATGGCTGAGAATCAGAAAAAAGAAAAATAAAAAAGTACAAAATTAGAAAACAASCAAACTTCCAGCATACCTGATTGGTAGCAAAGAAAATTTCTATTGCTTTTTGAGAATTCTACTGATGACTAAAAAAATGACACCTGTGTTTACATAACTTAAAGTGTATTTCTGTGGTGACACAGTTTAATTAGCTTTGTGAGTCCTCTTGGCCATCTCAGTGCTTCTTCTAAAACTGTGATATCCATTTAAGCTGATACACAAAGAAATAAAATGATGACTTATCAAAAGAACATGTATCAAAGATTCTGTTAAGCTCCCTAGAGAATTAGGAAACTAGCATTAGAATTAGGAAACTAGATATTAAATATGGTTAAAAGGGTATTTAAAAACTAGATATTTCGGCTGTGGGTGTAGCTCAGTGGTAGACTACTTGCCTAGGATATGAGTCCCTGGGTGTGATTCCTACTATTGAAAAAACAAAACCAAAACAGTGAAAATAATGTCAGAAGAACACAGCTTAGCTCAATACAAAACTGCTCAATGTTCTTTACCTATATGAATGACAATATTTAAATACCAAGTATTTGTGAGATTGTAGTTTGTCAATTTCTAACATTATTGGAAATACTGTATTCTTTGACTCAGGAATTTCACTCTTAGGTGTATGTTCTGGAGAACTCATATGTGTATAATAAGGAATATGTAAGATTGATGATTATACAGTATTTATATAGCTAAAATGGAAAACATCATAATTTTCCATCTACAAAATAATGGATAACTATATTAGATATATTTATAAAAGATAAACTGTATAGTTAAAGCAAATTAATTGGAATTGCATTTATAGTAGTCAGAGATAAATATCAAATACAATGTTGAGTCAAGAAAACAGTTGTGAAAAAGAGGCATACTTTATAATTTTTTTAAAAATATACAAAGCATATATAATGTGCCTATCCATGCACACATATTATTCTGTTTCAAAAAAATCAGTAGAAAGGCTAAATATGCTTTAAATATTGCAGAGTGCTAAAATGTGATGAAGTTGGGTAATGGAGTATTTATTATCTAATTCCCATTTTTCCATTTTTGAGATATTTCATTAGGAGAAAGAATATATACATATATATGTATGTATATATATATGTATGTATATATATGTATGTATATATATGTATGTATATATGTATATATATATATGTATGTATATATATGTATATGTATATATATGTATGTGTATATATATGTATGTATATATATATATATATGTATGTATATATATATATACATATATATGAAACGTACAAATTTAAAACCATTATGCACCAAACTTTACTAATACAGTTTGTCTCAAAAATATAAATAAGTAAATACATAAGCAACATATTAGTATATACATGTAAGCACACACATACATTACTTATTTGAAGTATTCAACTTGAATAGGAAGGATTTCCTGCAATGCCTGATAATGTTAACTTGGAGATGGGAGGTGAAATGGATCCTGGGAATTGGGTCCAATTTCAGCTTGATCTGTTATGCTTTCATTAAGAACAAAAAAACTATTGTAAATATGTCATACACTTGCAGTTTTCAGTTTTTGTGAAGGGGATATGGATGTTTGGTAAACTGAATCTTTGGTTAAGTCTTACTTATTTTTGTCTTTCAAAATAGTTTCTAAAAAACATTAAACATTTGACTAAGATCTGGGGCTTGTATATAAAAGTTAAATTTTGGATCAATAAGAATATTCTTAAATTCAAGTATTTTGTCAACTCATTTAATGAGAATGACAGTGCAATTATCAAATAAATTAATTGTGGGTAATTTTTTCCTTTTTCTAAAGAATACAAGTCAATGACCAGATTGTGGAAGTGGATGGAATCAGCTTGGTGGGTGTCACACAGAATTTTGCTGCAACAGTTCTCAGAAACACCAAAGGCAATGTCAGGTAAATATGTGGCTTCATATGTACACAATTTGGTCACTTCATATTTTGTTGAATAATAGTTTCCCCTTGTTTTACTTATAAATATATGCAATTACAATGAAATTTTTATTTGAATACTAAAAACTCTGAATCAATATAGTTAATTATTGAGCTATTTTAATATGCCTTATTGCTAATACAGCAATAGTTTCTAGGAAGATTTCTATCTTTCTAGTTATAGCCTCAATAAATATTAATTTAGGTCCCTTAATCCTATTAACAAAACCAGTTTATACAATAAATTGAAATTGAAGTGATTATAAACATATTCAATGACATGTATTATTTAGACAAGTAAGCTATTGGATTTGAAGCTAACTACATTTTTAGATCTACTTATTTGTTTTAAAGAATTAGCCAGGACCAAGCGTAATGAACTGTAACTCTTCCAACCTAATAGGACAGAGGGGACATTTTTTCAGATCTTAAAATTTATACCTGACTCTTGGGTTGTCAGAATTCTAGTCTGGAAAACAAATAAGAAAGGAGTCCTAAGCCAGGTAAGGTCAAGGTTGGAATAAGTTTTATTTGGTCATAGGTTACTTAATTTTTAAAAAGCACTGCTTATTTCTTCTACTTTTTCAAAATCCTATGAATGAACACATTAGGGAACCATTATTTAGTATGTATAATTATGAAAGTGGTTTAGTGTTATCATTATCAGAAAGAAATTGTCAAACATTCTGAAAATATTAGTGAATTAGCATTKCTATAAAGATTCATCATTAGAATTTCAAATCAAATTTCAGATCAAATTTTAGGGCTGAGGAGATGTTTTAAGGAATACAACCTAAGTGATTAATTTAGGCAGTTTATTGATGTTTCTAGAATACCCACAGTCTTGTGAAAAATATGTAAAATAATTGGAAAAAATACAGGAAAATATGTGCAATGTTCTCTGAGCTTCATGAGTGAGCTCATCTGTAAATGTGATTGTCCCGAAGGTTACCTTGTGTTCTTGAGACAGCACATTCCTATATCAGTATAGCTGTCCTATATCAGTATAGGCTGTAAGATAAATTTTAATATTAAATAAATAAGGTAGACACTCAACTTGTAAGAGCATTTCTTAGTTGAAAGAGTTTGTAGTGACACAAACTCATAGCCATCCCTTTCTGTTTTGACTATTGGCCATATAATTTTGTGTGGGTTATTTCAATACTTGTACAAATTTCATATGGCCTCTTAACTGGTCTTCCTGATTTCACTTTCTCCCTTTTTCATTCTGTCCTAATCATTAACCCCTAAAGGAAGAACATCATTGCAGATTTCAAATGTGTGAAGGGATATTGTGGAAAAAGGAATTGACTTTCTGTTTATCTCTAATAATAGAAGAATCACGACTTGAGTAGTAGAAATTTAATAATTCTGCATCAGTCACATCCATCTCTCTTCAGAAACCATCAACACCCCTCCCTCCATTCTGTGAAGAATATAAGCTTTTTAGTTTGTGTTAAACATCTTCCATCCTCTCATCTTTTCACTTGACTCTCTTTGTTCATGTCTGGTGCAGTCATGTAGTCATCACCCTTGAGACACGACTTGTGTATTAATTATTTCTCTGCATTTCTCCTTGCCATTTTTTCTTCTGCTTAAAATACTGTTTCCTGTTTAGAACCTACATATCTTGAAGAACATATTGCAACTCTTTTGCCCTCCGAGAAGTCCTCCTTATCCTCCCTCTCTTTTCTGATCTCTTCTTTCTCATAATGCTCATAATTCATACTACTTTTTTGAACTTGAGGTTACAGAGTGTCTACTTTTTGTCTTTAAAATGCATATACTTTATTTCCCCACTCTCTTGGCAAAAATCTTAACCTACACATGGGATTAAGATCCTGGGCTTCTTCCAAATTATTGAGCCCAAGATCTTAATTTACTGAAATTATACAACACAGGATCTTAATTAACTGCCTTTAAAGAGAAAACTTTTTCTCAATTTTAACTTTTCAGAAATAATATTTGAATTCTCTGAATTCAAATAGTAGATCTTCATAAAATACTAATACAAAAATAAGCTCCAAAACCCAGTCCTGTGTTAATGATAACTTTTTAAACTGGTGTTTTAAAATATATGTCCTTCTGTATTTTTGTTCATACCATACTTAATGGTTGTTAAAATGTATTTTAAGTAGGGATATTATCTGGTATATTATCAAGTTTAGCTGGACTTTTTCTAACTACTAAGCACAGGCCTAAAAGGAATATGTAGAACTCTAGCTTTAAAGATTTGAAACCAGAGGTGGTGAAAAATTAAAACTGAGAATTGAATTGAGATTATTTTTTAAGTATTAAAGATTAAGTTTTTATTTATTTCCTGGAAATGTATATGAAATATATGTCAACGTTTGCATATTGATCAGATGCATGTTAAAATCTTATGACTTTACCCACAAGTTTAGAGAATCATTTTCTTGTTTCCTCATGTGCTTTGTTTCATTAATCTTTTAATGATTATACCTGAATTATGAACTAATAGTATGGATAAAGACCCCATTAGTATGTCGGATTTAATACACTTGAGAAAAAATACCCAAATTTTAATATATTATTACTTGTAAAGGCATATATGTTTTTCAACCTTACATTATTTAAATGATATAAAGCATATTAGGCCACTTTGAAAAAATGATTCAGCTCAACCCAGGTTATGTTCCTGGGGAATATTGGAAACTCATGGCTCAAAGCATTGGTATGCTATTATTGTTTCCCTCATTTTATTGACATCATTTAAAACTAACTACTCACAATGAGTGCTAGTCATATTAATTTCCATAAATATTTAGTTAAAGAAAAACCTCACAAGACTGAAGCAATTTACACTCATTGTGATGATAGTCACAGGAGAAAGACATGAAAGTTAAAAGGTAAATATGGATGACTCGAGCAACAGTCTTCCTCTATTGGGACTCATAGGAACCATTGCTCTACAGATTTTAAATCACCACAGTCATATGCCCAAGTCACCTTGGTATTAAGGAGCCCAAAGTCTGTGTGTGGTAGGTATCACTCATAGTGAGCTTGTCACATAGGTACATTTCCACTTCATGATTATCTTTGACCATTGAAAACTCCAGGGTGCATTTATTTCTCAGTGTTCTCCTAAGAAACAGAACCAACAGCACATAGTTATAGATTGATAGATTTGGGGAGTTGGCTCATGCATTTATGCAGACTAAGAAGACAGATGGCAAATCCAATGGGTAGATATTACCAAAATGCCCATTTTTTAGATGAGGGAACTGAGGCACAGGAAATACTTGAGTAAACTCACATAGCTTGGAACTAGCTTGGAACAAATTGGAGAGCCAGAAACTGAGTCAGTGAGGTCTAGTGTCATGTGTAAAAAAAAGCAGTTATCCCAGAAATCTGTCCTTTGTACCTGGTCCTGAGACCATAGAGACAGTGAATATGTTCAATATTATTCATAGTTTATAAAAGAGTCAGCTTTATGATACTTATTTCTTATTTTGTTTGTTTATTTTGGTGTGGTGAGGATTGAACCCCCAGCCTTGTGCATGGTAAGCAAGTGCTCTACCCCTGAGCCACACTCCAGACCCTGCTTTTATCTCTGCTAGCTCTAATAAAATTCAGAACACATATTTTTTCTCTTATTTACAGAGATTTAAGACAAGAGACTGAATCAGTTTTGTTTAAATGTGAGACATTACTGATAAAATGATAGCAGATAAAGTTGTATTTTGTATTAAAAAGTACTTGTAGTTTTGTATAACTTTAAACAATCTGTAAATATCTATTGATTCTTTGTATAGGTTTCAATTGGTTTTTATCCTTTTCAAATTACTTTATATTATTGTCTTTTAATGAATTTATAAATTCTAGTTTAAGATTAGTTTTCCCATAACTAAACATGGACCAACAAACATAATTTGGCTTTAAAAGATCTCAAAGAAAACCATCATTTAATATATTATGAACTGTGAATAGGTGGGTAAAACTGCTCATATAACATTCTGAGTCTAACCTGTTTTTAAATTATCTTTATGTAATACAGAACCTGAGGATGAGAACAGAAGTTTATTGTAACTTGTTAACTAAATTAAATTAGTGAAGTCATATCCTGTCAATACCACAGAGACTGTAGGTTTTTAAACAACTCTTAAAGCATTTTCTTTAGGTTTGCACCATGAATCACTAAATACATAATAAAAACATATGAAATAGTATTAGTCTAAAGTCAAAAGAAGAGAGCTATAAATGCATTACATAATTCGTATTGTAAAGCATTAGTTAATATAGATCTTATCTGGGTTTATCAAGTGTTTATTTCAGAGTTATCCAGAATGTGATATTGATCCTTGATGAAAGTATGAAATATACTAATTAGGGATGAGGCAAGGTATAGCAGCCTATTGAAATGGTTTTGAAATACTAATTGGATTTAAAACATATACCTGGATTTGGTGTATAACAAAAACAGAAGAGTTAATATGTCAAATTGATTGGGCTAAGTTATGCCCAGATAGCTGGTAAATCATTATCTATATGTGTCTGTGAGAATGTTTCTGGAAAAGATTAGCATTTGAATCAGTCAACTGAGTAAGGATCACCCTCACCAACGTGGGCAAGCATTATCTAATGCAGAGAGCCCAAAAAGTTAAAAAAAAAAAAAAGATGGAAGAAGGGTGAATTCAAAAACTGTGTTTGAGCTGGAACATCTTCTGCTCTTGGACATTGGGACTCCTGGTTTTCAGGTGTTTGAACTCATTCTAGGATATACCCTATTGGCTTCCCTATATCACATGATACACACTTGGCCAGTTACTGTTTATCAAGTCTCAGTTCATAAATCATTTCTTTAATGGATGAGTTCTTCTTATATTATGCTATTTATGTTATCTAAACCCCACATCAGTCTCTATCATATTGTCATTTTTTTTCCAAATAGTGTTTATCTCATGATACTCTATCTTTCTGGTGTTGACTCTCTTTTTTGATCC